TCAGGAAGTGTTAATGTAGGGTCACAGGTAGCAAAGTAATATTCAGGCCAGAAGCACAAACAAGCTGGATTTGTCTGTCTGAAACCTGGCTTCCAGTATTTGGGTTTTTTGCCTTAGTTCTTTATGGTGATTTTAACTTTTGGATAAGATTATCCTGAATCGATCATTAAAGCAAACTAGTGAAAGAGATCTAGCACTGGGCTTGTATATCCTAGTCAATGCAAGGCAAACGTGACTGCCGAGTAGATTCAGCCAAAGACAAACCAGTGGGTTCACCTGACTCAAGAAATACCTATAATTACTCTTTCATTGCTTTGCTCAACGCTATTAACTTACCCCAAAATGTCTTAATTACCAATTCTGGGCTGGCAGGAAAAGCGCACAGTTGATGTGGGCAGATATGGTGTGGTTTCCGTAGACTGAGGAAGGAGGGAGAACTGTGCTCCAGTCAAGATCACATAAGGAAGGGGATAGGTCTTCTAGAAGGATTGCACTGCTTCAGCTTCCCTGAGGATGCTTATGCTCTGTGCTATCAGCTATTAGCACCTGATGGATTCACTCACAGCAGCACAGCATCTTGAAACAAATGGTGTCAAACTCATGACAAGTGACTAATGCAGGGGTTTTCAGGTCTGGCTGGATTGCCTAAATTGACCCGGAATGGCTGCATACTTCCCCTTTTTTTCACCTGGCTATACAGGGGCAATTTTCTATGCCAATATGACCAGTGTCCTTTGCATAAAATAAGTAAAGTTAAATAATGTGCTCAGAGATACAGCTTGTTCTGCACAAACTATTGCCAAACATGAGGTGGATAGGCCTCTCCCTTGTAATATTAAACCTCTCAGCACTCACATTATGCCACCTCAGAAGAGTTATGATACCATATGAAAAACATCATTCATATGAAGAAAAAATTTCAGTCTTTTACTTCAATATTTGTAAGACTGTAGACATGAAATGCAACTTCAACACAACAGGGTGACGACAGGTCATATATAGCCTATAAATCATAAGCCACGCATTATTACAGTCGCACTCCCTCACCTCCCTAGCTGTACCTTCAAGTGAGGCCTGCCCAGGCTAAGCAAGGTCCAGGCCACCAGCCGGACATCACCACAGACCGGAAGACCGGCCGCTGCCCCCCCT